AAGACATTTAAATTTCTACATTAAAACTTGATTCTATGAGCAATTCAAACCCCAATTGGAAGTAACCGCTTTCCTGGACAAGGACTGTTTCTCAGATTTTTTCCTTCTTTCATACTATGCCTTGCAATTCCTGGAGAGCCCACCCATACCCTGTGCATCAGGACCTGCAATCCTGGTGCCTTCTGCCTTTGTTTACTCAGAGAGGAATCATATGTCCAGAAAGAAACTCATTACCGTTACCATCCCAACAGCGATGAAGTCTTGGGTTACAATAGTAAATATGTACAGAACCCCACCGGGCTCTTGCATCAAGCTCCACACTCTTCTTCCCAAAACTTTCCAGCTCACCCTGACAGAGCTGAGCTCAGCCTCTGGTCTCCTAGTCACTCCCCTGACCCTCCCCTTTAGTGACACAGGGCTGGGCCTTTGCCAAGGCCGAGTTCCTTAGTTTAGGCACCATTTTCACGGTTACTTACAGAACATTTCTTCATTTTGATTCGAGGTGTCTGAGAGAGCTGAGCCCAGTGTGGCCCCTCTGAGACTCTGCACCATGTCCCCCAATTTGCAGAGCATTCTCCCAGCCCTGTACCTCCTGGGGGTCTTGACCCTACTGCTGTGCCCTTCAGGCCTGTGTGGTGAGTACAGTGGTTATTGGGGAAAGGAGGTAGTTTCTCTAAGATATAAAAAAAATACCAAACAACAGTTCATCAAATGTAGTCAAGTGGTGGCAATTTATCAGCTTTTTGAAAGAGTAAGATGAACTACGTTATTAATAAAATGAAGAATTTTAAAATATAAAAGAAATTCTTCTAGATAGAGGCTGTTATTATGTCTAGAATAATTGTGTTGATATGTAAAAATTCTTGTGAGACTGCTTTAGGAAGGAATAATCTTTAATTTTCAAATGAATTTTTTATATTTCAATGCTCCAAAATGTTTGCAATATATTTACCTTCTAACTAAGTTAATTATGCCATCTACAATCTTAGTTATTGATTCATTGAGGGGAGGGAATTTCATCAGTAAAGGAAAAATATTGTCTGTTATCACAAATACTTATTATTTGTGGAGTAAAAGGTAGGGCACTTGGAGAACTATAAAAATTATATAAATATAAGGCATCGTTATTAAAGTGGAGAAAATTTTTTTACAAATGAAGGAGAAATAAAAGAGTTTAAAAGAACTTAACCATAACTGTTCAAATATTTGTTGTCATGGAAATTAACTTGTTATATTATCTCAATGGAAATGTCCTTTAAGCAAAATATTTTTCTCTTGTGCTAGAATTTTTTGTTTTACTTGAGAGAATTCATCTTCATTATGAAGATATTTCTATGCATATTCCCTGAAAATGGCTATCATGGCATAAAAAATGTAGGATTTGATATTGCTTTGAGGGAAAATCCTAATCTAAAGTAATAGTTGAATGTTCTCATGTGAGCCAGCAGCTTGATTTGAAAGTGGGGAAGCCATGCCTTCTCCATCACTGAGAGAGGTGGGGGGAAAGCATGGGTTTATTAAGGAAGAATTTCTCCCTGGAAGGTGATTTTTCCCTCAAACACCTGAGCATTACTGAGGAGTAGCACTACGATTAGGTTCTAGAGCAGGGGTGGGCAAACTTTTTGACTCGAGGGCCACAATGGGTTCTTAAACTGGACCGGAGGGCCGGAACAAAAGCATGGATGGAGTGTTTGTGTGAACTAATATAAATTCAAAGTAAACATCATTACATAAAAGGGTACGGTCTTTTTTTTCAATAGTTTTATTCATTTCAAACGGGCTGGATCCGACCCGAGGGCCGTAGTTTGCCCAGGGCTGTTCTAGAGTCAGTGCAGCATGAAGAACGTGCCCAGGGGATGTTCAGAACTCCACGTTGTCTCTGAGTTCTCCTCTCTATGAGTCTGAGGTAACAGAAGAAAACCTTATTAAGTTGGTCAACATCTTTCAATTATTTCTTCATGTGTCTGTTTCCCTGTCTCTTTACCTCCCATTTCATGAAATCTTCCATTATCGATGGCCTCAACCCTTTGAAATGGCATTTAATTTCTGTCAACTTTGACCTGAAATCTCCCTTTCTGATTCTGCCTCCCCTTTTCTTTATAGTAACAAAATTCTGAGGCCAGAGACTTTGCTCATTGCCTCCGTATTGATCTGCCTCTGCTATCTTACCAGCTACTCGCTTCTACCCATCCTTCGTGTATCTCCACGTCATTCCTGGACATCTTTCCCTAATAATCCAGGCCTCAGTTCTGTCAACCTTTTCCAGTAGATCTCATTTGTTGTCCTACTCTCCTAGCACTCGTGTGACTGGTGTTGTAGTGTAACTATTTAAATGGCTCTATCTTATCTAAGTATATTGCAAGTATGGCTCTTAATATTACCGGAAGAGCCTAGTACAGAACTCCTTACATATGTTATTCATGAAAATTAAGAGCTGTTTTTTTTATACCTCACCTAAGGATAAGACTTTATTGATTTGAGAGAGAGGGGAAGGGAGAGGAAGAGGGAAACATTGACCTGTTGCTTCCTGCATGCACCCTAACTAGGGATCACACTCACAATTTGGGTGTGTACCCTGATCAGGAATCAAACCTGTGACATTTTGGTGTCTCGGATGATGCTCCAACACACTGAACCACACCAGCCGGGGCAAGAGCTATTTTTTATATTTCTCAGAAGGTACTTAATCTGAGGTTATATGGAAGCTGTTGATTTGTACACAGGTGCATTAAACAGAATGTTATCACACAATTCTCATGACACCAACTGGGTGTCCTAAATTTTAATATATTCATAACACTGTCTCCCTGGAGGAGTGTCAGATCCCACAGGTTAAGGGCTCACTCCCACAAGACTGGTCCCACCCCGATTCGAATGCCAGTCATAAGGAGTAGGTCCCCAGATTACCCCCCAACTTCTGTCCAACTAGACTACAAATCAGAGGTCCTTTGGACCTCTTCCGAGGGTTTGATTAATTTGATAAAGTTGTATATTTTTAAAGTTATATATATACCGAGTGTCCAGATTATTATGACCACCTGACATTTGTAGGCAAATTAGCTATAATTTCGTGCTGAAGTTGCTAAAGGGCCAGACCATTATAAATAGGGAAGCAGGTTGTTTACCACGACAGTAGAAGTGATTTTTTTCTGAAGATATGGGTAAACAATGCGATTTAACATCCCTTGAACATAGGATATATATTATGATGAGTGGCCAGATTATTATGACCATCCCATTAGTACTTCCTTGGTCCACCTTTTGCCTTCAATACTGCGGCGATACTATTTGGCATTGACTCCAGGAGATGTTGAACAGTGATGCGAGGAATCTGACACCATGCCTGATGAATAGCACTGTCCAGTTCTGTGAGATTTGATGGTTGTGGAACCAGCTGCGTGATGGCTCTTTTAACTTCGTCCCATAAATGCTCAATTGGATTGAGATCTGGTGATTGTGGGGGCCACCTAAGCAAGGTAAAGTCTCCCTCATGTTCTTGAAACCACTCCTGCACAATATGAGCACCATGGCATGGCACATTGTGTTGTTGGAAGAAGCCATCTCCATTGGAATACGCCATCAACATGATAGGATGAATTTGATCAGCAACGATACTTAGGTATGTTGTGCTATTCAGACGTTGTTCCACACAAATTAAAGGGCCCAAATCATGCCAGCAAAATATGCCCCAAACCATAACACTGTCCCCACCAGCTTGAAAGGTTGTACTCATGCATGTATATGCTTTCATGATGTTCCCACAAAATTCTCACTCTGCTCTCTGCATGATGCAACTGAAACGTGATTTATCAGACCACATGACTTTTTTCCAATGCTCGACTGTCCAATCCTTGTGTTCCTGTGTGAATTGGAGGCATTTTATCTGGGTAACTGCAGACAGCAAAGGTGTTCAAATAGGCCTTCGGCTTCCATATCCCCTATGATGCAGTGAACGGCTAATTTCCCTACAAAGATCAGGTGGTCATAATAATCTGGCCACTGACATTCAAATATATCCCATGTTCAAAGGCTGTTAAATTGCATTGTTTACACATATCTTCAGAAAAAAAATCACTTCTACTATTGTGGTACACAACCTGCTTCCCTATTTATAATGGTCTGGCCCCCTAGAAACTTCAACACGAAATTATAGCTAATTTGCCTACAAATGTCAGGTGGTCATAATAATCTGGCCACTCAGTGTATATATTTTTCTATTATCTCACATCATGGTAGCATCTTGTTGGACAAGTATACTTGTGTTCCTCAAGTTAAATTTATGATTATAGTAATTCAACAGGATGACTGCTTTTGCCAGAAGAGACCAGCAAGGGCTTGGGTTTTGAAGAGCTCTCCCGGTTTTTATTTGCCACATGTGGGTGTGGGACCAGCCCATTTCACATCTCTGCCCTTCCCCCAGTACCGATGTGGCTTCCTCCTTAATTTCTTAGTTGTAGAACTTCCATTCAGCCACATTGTGGTTGTTTTGAATGATGTTTGTTCTGTTTAGTTGCAATTTTGATGTGGTTGTGAGGGGAGAGGCAAGAACTACGTTTTACTGATGCCACCATCTCAACTAGAAGCCAATATAAACTTTTGAGAACATTCTTCCTTCTGCGTTTTGGGAAGCATACGTTATTAGAAAGCTTAATAAGGATGTCACTCTAGTGAAGCCATAAGGAGATAAGTGTTACTTGTCATTGCTCTTGAATAATTTTGAAAATTTACATTTTCATCCAGGTTTAATCCAACTTCTCATTTTGGTGGCCCCTCATGCAATTATTAACTTGGAAGGAAGTGACTGGATTGAACTACTTTAGCAAATCAGAGACAGGGACCAAGGACTCAAGGTGTCTCGGGGACCCTTGTCTGTTTCCCCAACCTCTCTTCTGAGGCAAACTCTTCTTCTTAAGGTGCAAATGAAGTTATTAGCCATTGGGTAATCCTCATGGTGATTTTACTAACCTCACTTTTTATCAGCCTCACTTTTTATTTTTTAGAGGTTTGCTGTCCAGTACCACAGCTGAATCATGGAAAAATTATTCTGCAAAGACAGCAGAGAAAAGGTTTGGCCAATAAGTGCGAATATTTCCATGGAGATTTGATTTTATATTCATGTAATGGGAGACGTATCGCTGAAGCTTCATGCCAAGGAGATGGCACCTGGAGTCCTGACACACCAACATGTGGAGAGAGTAAGAGTTTATGGAATTATATTATGTTAGAAGTTTCTTCATATCAAAGTATGTGCGATTATTAAAGGAAGGGTTCCAATTAGGTAAAAAGAATTTCTGTGCTCTGCATGATTCTTAGAATGCATACATTTGTGTAATAGCACTGTCTGCATTTCAAATTTCTCTTTTCTCCCCAATGGTTGCTCCCATTTTCTTGACCTTCTTGGTTTCCTTTCCTGAAGCAGTGAAATTAGGCCACAACTAATAGATGAGCTAGACTTCTGGACTATTGTGTTCTGTTTCTTGGTATTTATTCTCTTCTTTTTCAGTGTTTCTGGTCCATATTCCTTAAGCTGTAGAACAAGGCTCTAAATCTATTTGAACTTGCTTCCGTTCTTCTGCTGCCTCTAAGCTCTTCTTCAGCCTATCTCTCAGTGTGAAATGCCTACATCTCCCTTACCAAGAGCACTTAAGTACTAAACACAATCCTCCCATCTCCCACTGTTTTTCCATAACCCTTTTTGTTCATGATCAGGAATAATCACGGCTACCTGGATAGTGATTCTTTGCCTTTCCTTCTGAAAGAAGGAGCCCAAAGGAGCTTCAGAGTGACCAGGTATCAGTCACAGTTGAGAAATCAATGGGAATCTTATCTCCCTTAGTTGAAGTGTTTCCACTTTGCCTACCAGTACTTTTCTATCTGCAGGTCACAGAGTTCAGGGATTAGCAGCCCATTTTCCCCAAAAGTTCACTTAGAGTGAATATAAATGGGGCTAGTCATGCTTCCATCTCTTGGTTCCTAGGCTCATGGACTCTTTTTTTATTGGGAACCCAATACCATATAAAGGTAGATCTTTGATTTAAAGTGAATACTGTGTTCTTAAAGTTACTGTAACTAATATTGTAAAACCCCATTATTGTAAAGTACTATCTCTCACCTGCACTTCAACTAAGCCTTTAACAGATATGAAAAGGAGATGAATGAATAGCCAGATGAAGAAATACATGGGGCAAAGATTGGGAGGGTCCCAAACATGGAGCTTCTGTGACCATGGAGTTGTGGTTCTTCACCCTCCCAGTGGGTGGATGTGATCATGCATCTGGAAGCTCTTTGAACTCCCTACTCTTGGAATTTTATGGAGGCTTCCTCATGTAGGCACCATCAAGTATTAATTCGGTTTCCGGGGTATCTCTGGAAGAGGGGAAGATGCCAAACTTCTAGTCATGGTTTGGTCCTTCTGGTGACTAGCACCTCCCAGGAACTCACCCAGAGTCACCTTATTAGAATAAAAGATGTTCCTAGTGCTCTTATCAAAAAGGAAATTGCAGTGGTTTCAGGATCTTAGTCCCAGAAATTGAGGGGGATATATTTCTATTATCTTACATCATGCTAGCATCTTCTTGCTCATTCAATAGAATTAATATGATTCCACTGATATACTGGATTGATGTGATATTCTTTATATGTTCAGATGCGCATGTAACTTCAGGCTCTTATGAGAGGGGCAGGTGAGTTTTCATAGGACAAGGGTAAAATGGCAAATGTATGATCTTGACCCTTTCATGTGTGTGCACATTGTTTCTGATCTTCTTTTCTGAGAGGGTGGGAAAGAAGGCCTTTGCTAAAACAGTGGCCTCATTACCCTGCAGACATATTAAAGCAAAGTTACCATATCTGGTACAGGGTCTGCAGTAGGGGCTACAATGTTGAGTGTTCAACAGTCTACTGTAATTGTCCAGAATTCTAATTTTTGTAGTAGACAGACTAGGGAAATAAATAGAGATATGATGAGAATGACCACTTCTGCATCTTTAGTTCTTTAAGAGTGGCACTAATTTCTCCCTTACTTGATTTTAAAGTAAATTTATGGAGTGACATTGGTTAAGATGACATATATTTTAAATTGACTTTCCTTGCTTTAAGAGGAAGGGGTCTGGGGCAGATCAATAGTTTCTACTTGGCCTTCCTGCATGTGATTGCTATTACCTCACAGGTCAATGACCCAATATGGAGAATGGACCCACTAGGGTGCCCTCATGGTTCTTCATCATGAGGCTTACGGGAGGGCAGCACAGGTACTTGGGTTTGGCTAAGTGATCCCTTGGGCAGAGAAGATGGCAGGACAGGACAGAGCCCTCAGAAAGCACACAGATTCTGGGATGTGTTGTTGTTTATGTCCTATAAGCTCAAGCTCTCTCACTTTATGTCTTCCCAACAAGGTTGCTATTATCCTCCTGTCATTGACCATGGACGTCCTAAACTAACTACACACACATTCTCACCTGATGTGGCTAAATATGAATGTGACAAAGGATACACTCTGGTTGGAAATCCCATACTCTACTGCAGTTATTCACGCTGGTCTGGTCCACCTCCTCAATGCAAAGGTAACTCCAGCCCACGGATAAGTGAGAAGATCTCTCATACAGGGATTGAGAATAACGTTTCTTTGTAGCCAGAGGCAGAACAAAAACATGGGATTTATTTATTTTAAATAATTAGTATATCCAAATGGCACCCAAAGCAAACAAAAGTACAAGGGGTATATAGAAACATTAATCTCCCCTATTTCTTTCTCCCAGTTACAAAACTCAGCCTCCTTGAGGCAGCCCCTGTTCCACTTTCTTGTATATCTCTGGAAACCGTCCACAGGCGGGACATTTTCCTGTGGCCTGGAGCAAAATTTTCATGGAAACTTGCTCTGGCATGAAGGTAGGCTCTCAGGGGCTGATTCCAAACACCAGGAAGTGAGCCTCATGCAGTGTAGGGCACCACCTGCCAATGCTGGAGGCCTGTGGTGTGGATTCCCAGTTTGCAAACTGATGTGGGGGTGGGAGGCATCAAGGTCAGGTGTGCTGTTTGCATGATACAGGTTTAGTGTACTTTGCAATCAACAACACTAGGAATTTGTCACCATTGGTTCTTTTGCTCACAAGAGGACAATGGGCAAGAGAGAATATTTTATCCCCAGTGTTCTGTAGGGATCACAATGGAAAGGACTGTTGCCTTGATGGCTGAGTCTGGGGTCCTGTGCCTTTTTCATACCCTGTGATGTAATTTAAAGTTGTTACGTCTTCAACTAGTTGCTTAACCTCTCTCTATCTCATTTTTTCTTACTTAAATGTGAATAATAACAGTGCTCACTTTATAGAGAGGAGTGAGACTTCAATGAGATAATCACATAAATTGGTGAGCCCTGGAGAATGATATGAGCCAATGCTCAATTAACATGGGAGCTAATATTATTGCTCTCAAAAGAAAAAAAAACATAAGACAATGAGCAGCACCTACATGCAGTTCATTTTAATAATGCTAGCCTGTGATCATGTCTTCTTTTCTTAGACTTACAGATTGCTTAACTATGCTTTCCTTGTAGCTGTATGTCCGAGACCAGAGATAGAACATGGGAATCTGCTTGTGGATAAGGATCAGTTTGTTGAAAATGAAAATGTCACCATGCAGTGTGACTCTGGCTATGCTATCGTTGGTCCCCAAACCATCACCTGCTTGGAGGACAGGACCTGGTACCCAGAGGGATCCAAGTGTGAGTGGGTAAGTGGCACAATTCAAGGAACTCCCTGTGCTTTCAATCCCTAAAAATGGTGCCTCCCCAAAGCACTGTCGCAGCCAGCAGAGGCCAGATCTGACTGGCCAGGACTCATTCCTCAGTCATTCAAAAGGACTCTCTTTCTTTCCCTTGGAACACACGTTAGGATGGCAGGTTTTCCTTCTTTCACTTGAGAACAGGGAACGCCGAGCCTTGTAAGGAGAGGGGGTCCTCAGAGACCTGGGAGCACTCCTACATTTCCTTTTCTAGACTGTATAACACACTGTTTTCCATGTCTGGATGGGTAGCCAAAGTAGCCTCTGTCCCCACAGAGGCCTTCTGGCACGCTCAGATCAGGAAGATCTATATTCTTCTGGGGAAGACTACAGTGGGGCCCGGGGTCTCCTGGTTGTCCTGCTCTCCCGTCAATCCTGGGTGTCTTGGACCCGACTCCCTGACCTGCATTGTCAGGATCTCAGAGAAGCCTCCCAACTACTAACCACCTACATCTCTTTTAGGTGGTCCCTCCAGGTAGTGAGCAAGTGAAAGCAGGCAGAAAACTCATACAGAGTCTCCCTTGCGTGGAGGATGTGAAGATGGCCCGGGAGCTGTATAAATTGTCATTGGAAATTGAACGCCTAAAACTGCAGAGGGACAAGGCAAAGCTATCCACTCTGGTGTCCCCACACTGATTTTTCCCAGAAGGTGCCCTGCTGTCTTCCATTCAATATGGGTCACTTTAGTTTAGAAATCTGCCATTCTTTTGCATTGTAATGAATACCTAAAAACGGAATATTTTTTATTTTGCTAGTGCTCTGATATTATAGAATTGTTGATAACCTTGTGGCTCACATTTTTGCTTTTTTGGACACAAATTGCACATTTTTCCATTAAAAATTTACTTATAGAGAACAATTTTGTGTTTGTGGTCATTGAGGCTCTGTGAAATGTGGTCCATATACAGACCCCAAAATGTATTTCCATAAAGTTACTACATTAATTGTATTGTATGGGTCTTGCTTGTGGACTTGGGTTCACGTCAGTTATATTTTCCTGGATTACCTTACTGCATGTTCCCCATGTGCAAATCACCAGGTCCTCAGTATTTACATTAAATGTCAACATGCCCCAAAAGTCTTGTCCACTCTCTCCTATTGGCAGAGAGTTGCACCCTTTGTAAAGCCCCAAGTGCTTGCTCTCTGACTTGCTAAGGCTGCCTCTTGACTTGATCTTATATGAAGGGCATTTACATGTGTCTGACCCCTTCTTTCATCCTCAGAGATCAAACTCTGAAAGCTCGGTGAAGGTGAAGCCCACGTGACAGCTCCTGTGCATTCGCAAGTCCTCCACCTGATCTGGTTCTCATTTTCTTTAATAGACAAGTAAAAAGCCTTGAGCAACTATCCCACACACAGGGAGACACCCCATGCGAATCGCTTTTATATCTCGAGGTATTTCGGAGGCTCTACTCACTTCCACTCACCACTTCCTCCAACCTTGCATTCTCTGCAATGAGGTCCATATACAAACCCAACAATGTTTTTACATAAAGTTACTACATTCATTGTTTTGTATGGGTCCTGCATGTGGACTTGGGTTCTCACTCATATCTCAGCTCAACTGGCTTGTTTGTCTTTCCCTAGTACACAGTACCTTATGGTTAACATTGGCCTCTTTGGTTTAATTTTCCCAGACATACTCTGAAGAGGCAATGTAGAGCATGCTTTCAGTATATTACAGGTCTCATAGAGGGGCCTGGACTGTTATGGAAACCCCCTTACTGGGAGGTATCTATCCTTGGTGTTGAATGCCATTACCTGCTCCTGCTATGAGGAATTCCTTTTGCTTCATGTTTATTTTGAGTTTCATTGAGGCAAGAACATGTGGGTACCTATTTTCCCTGAGAGGTGGCCCCAGAAAGCTCAGGAGTGGGTGGGGAGTAAGATGAAGAAGGGAGGCCAGTTTAAAGAGGGAGCATTGCTGAGGGGATTATTATTGCTGTTGCTGACAGGAGCTCAGTTATGCTGACTGCCCTCTGAATGTGTGTGGAGCCCAACTATGATTTGTCCTCTGGAGAATGAAGACCAATGGTAATTAGCCAATAGGTCTTGCTCTCAGGACACCTGCCCCCACTGCAGACCAGCTAGGCATGCTCCTGGCCACGCTGACACTGGTGCCCTAAGGGCACCAATGGCACCTAAGGGACTGTGTGAAGTAACCTCCAGGATAGAGATATGGACAGACAAAGCAGACCCTAGAGTTGGAAGCGGTCCAGAGTGTGCCAAAGTGAGAGGGCCCTAGTGATCTTGAAAGGAATTTGACAGTGTCTGCCATACACTTGGACATGCAGTGGAGGTTTTCCTGTGTGTGTACTTGCTTTTCTGTTCTGTCTGCCTTTGGTTTTTGAATTTATATTCTCCTCTTTCTTCATGTATTTCCTCATAGAAAGTAAAATATTGAGTTCCTGCGTATTTGAAAGTGTTTTTATCCAAATACTTGATGGATATTTTGTTGGCCTTTTATGATTATATCCTGATTTGGCATTTAGTTTATCCTCCCAGCTACCTGAGTCAAGCTTTCATTAAATATTGACAAGGACGCCTTCTGGCTTTCACACTTGGATTTGAATTGTGATTGGTTGCCTTGATCTTTCATTTTTCAGTTAAGTGGCACTGAGTCTGTATTTAAGGTCATCAGCCACCCAGTTACACAACCATTATTGCCATTTCCACTGCCCCTCTCAAGTGTCCGAGGTATTGCACAAGCCATTGCACCTCCTTCCATCTACATCCCATGGCACTTACCAGGTGAAAATGTTCATAGCTGCAATGCTACAGCAAGCCAGCACTGTCAATATTCACCCATGACCAGTGATTGCCAGTTGGCTGGTGGTGATCCAAGTCTAGAATCCAATTCTTAGAGTTAGCCTTTGAGGTCCACTTGTGGTACAAACTGTCTTCAGTCAGTTTCTCCAGAATGGATTTAGATGTATCTAAACTTTTGATATTGTACTCTTCAGGAAACACACACAAACACACACACACACACACACACACACACACACACACACACACACACCCCAAAACTGTAAGGCAATGAAGTAGCATGGTAGGGGAGCTAAGGAACTGAGCAAGGATGTGTTCTCAAGGATGGGTTCTCCACTTGATCCATGGAGAGCTCTAGAGTACACATTGCCTCACAGAAAGTGGAGAGCAGCTACAGCGTTTGGACAGGTTCAAGCCTGGGACTGAGAGGGCAGGATCCTCTCATGGCAAAGCCATGCGCAAGTCCCAGCACAATTATAGCCAAAGGCTGGAGTTGTAAGCTTAACCTTATGGTCCAAACCTGTGGTCCCCTGTGGCTGACTGATATATGCTACGGGAGGTACAGCAAGTAAACAAAGCTTGATCAGATGCATGTAATTGAGTAGATTCGAAATCCATGAGACTATTGTAACCACACCCTTACTTGCCTGGTGGAATCTGGCTACAAAATAAAGACTCGACTTGCAGGCCGTGACGCTGTCTCTCCATCAGAGAGGGCAGCGTCCCACCCAGACCCTTCTCTTGTCTGTCTTTTCTTAATCCTTGACCGCCCCTCTCAGGTTCACCCACGGCCGTGCCAGCTCAGCACACAGAATTGTTCAGACTTGAGGCAAGGAATCAGGGCTTTTGTGTCCCAATATTAGTTGGGCATTGGTTGCTCCTGTGGGCTGGGGTAGAACTTCCAAAGTATTAGGATGAGGAGGCTCCTGCCATTTCAGCACATTGCCTGGAGAAGGTCACAAATCTATGCCATTAACTAGACCACCAATAGCTTCTGTTGGTGGACATTCCATCGGGGAAGGCCCAACAGTGTTGATTTACTCCCAAATGGCTGACTCATTGTCCTTACAGGAAGCCAATATTGCCCCAAAAGTGGAAATTATTTTGGTATAAAGAAAAAGCCTGTATGATCAAATCAGTCTTGGGCTCAGAATTTGACCTACCTGGTAGCTACTAACTATCTATGAGGTTTGAGGGCAGGTTACTTTTTCTATCTAAACTGGTTTCCTCATTTATGCAACAAGGAAGGTAAAAACTATGTCCTAGGGCTTTTTGAAGATTAATTATGCTAATTTATATAAAGTTCGGGTACCCTACCTGCTGAAAGATTAAAAGCAGGCTTCTGGTTAATCCTTTAAATCACTTCTCTTTATTGTGATTCCTCTTTCTAAAGGAAGTAGCCATTTCACTCAATTATATTTGACAATTCTTCTCATTTATTTTTGAGAGAGAAGCATTTTGGTTCCTATGGGTACGTGGTAGTCATTCCAGTTCAGCTGAGTAGTGAAGATCCCTTTAGGACAATTTCCAGAGCTTACTCTTTTGTTTGAGGCAACTATCTAAGCACAGATATCCACAGCTGGTGGGCAAGATATGGAATCCAGGTTGGTAGTCTCATCTGTCCCACTTAAGGAGACAAGTTAGGCAATAATCTGGATGAACAGTCAGGCAGTCTTCGATGGTTAAGAGACACTTAGTCTTGGGGTTACCAATTCACGAAGCAGAACAAATGCGCCTTCCATTCACTTGTCTCTTACTCCTCAGTGACAAAGCGCTGGGCTTCCTCCGCATCCAGCATCATCCAGACAGTTGAAAAGGCACACTGAACCTTCCTTTCTCCTTAATTGATCATCTCCAGCATTTACCTTTCAGTGCATGCTTCTCAGGTGCAGACACGGACTAGCATAGTTCCCACACCTGAACCGTTTCATAGAGTGAGTCATTTGGTGTTTCAGGTATATCAGCAAACCCAGGAAGTAAAGAGGCTCCCATTGAAGTATTATAAGAATAATTATTGTTTGGACTAGATTCTTGAGTATTTTCTCACAGACTCATATTAGTGTGTTCTTGGTAGACCATAGGCTACCTAGAAATAAATTTAAATTTCTACATTAAAAAACTTTATTCTATGAGCAATTAAAACCCCAAATGGAAGAAACTAATTTGTTGGACAAGGACTGTTTCTCAGATAGTTTCCTTCTTTCATACTCTGCCTTGCAATTCCTGGAGAGCCCACCCATACCCTGTGCATCAGGACCTGCAATCCTGGTGCCTTCTGCCTTTGTTTACTCAGAGAGGAATCATATGTCCAGAAAGAAACTCATTACCATTGCCATCCCAACAGCAATGAAGTGTTGGGGTTACAATAGTAAATATGTACAGAACCCCACCGGGCTCTTGCATCAAGCTCCACACTCTTCTTCCCAAACCTTATCAGCTCACCCTGACAGATCTGAGCTCAGCACCTGGTCTCCTAGTCACTCCCCTGCCCCTCCCTTTTTGGTGACACAGTGCTGGGACTTTGCCAAGGCCAAGTTCCTTGGCTTAGGCACCATATTGACGGTTACTTACAGAACATTTCTTCATTTTGATTCGAGGTGTCTAAGAGAGCTGAGCCCAGTGTGGCACCTCTGAGACTCTGCACCATGCCCCCCAAGTTGCACAGCATTCTCCCAGCCCTGTACCTCCTGGGGGTCTTGACCCTACTGCTGTGCCCTTCAGGCCTGTGTGGTGAGTACAGTGGTTATGGGGAAAGGAAGTAGTTTCTCTAAGATATAAAGAAAAATACCAAACAACAATTCATTAAATGTCGTCAATTTGTGGCTAGAATAATTGTGTTGATATGTAAAAATTCTTGTGAGGCTGCTTTAGCAAGGAATAATCTTTAATTTTCAAATAAATTTTTTATATTTCAATGCTCCCAAATGTTTAAAATACCTTCTAACTAAGTTAATTATGCCATCTACAATCTTAGTTAGTGATTCATTGGAGTGGGGGTGGGGGGAATTCTACCAGTAAAGCAAAAATATTGTCCATTATCACTAATAGTAACTTTTCTAGAGTAAAATTTAGGACACTTAGAGAGTTATAAACCATTACATAAATTTAAGACATTGTTATTGAAATGTCGAAAAGTTTTTACAAATGAAGAAGTGAAAGAGTTTGAGAGAACTTACTAGAACTTTTGAAGATCTGTTGTTATGGAAATTAATTTGTTGTTATCTAAATGGAAATGTCCGTTAAGCAAAATATTTTTCTCTTGTGCTAGATTTTTTTTTTTACCTAGGAGAATTCACTTGCATAATATGGCTATCTCTATGCATATTCCCTGAAAATGACTATCATGGCATAAAAAATGTAGGACTTGGGATAGCTTCAAGGGAAAATCCTGAATCCAAAATAATAGTTGAGTGCTCTTATGAGCCAGCAGCTTGATTTGACAGTGTGGAAGCCATGCCTTCCCCATCACTGAGAGAGGTGGGGGGAAAGCATGGGTTTATTAAGGAAGAATTTCTACCTGGAAGGTGATTTTTCCCTCAAACACCTGGGCATTACTGAGGAGTAGCACTACGATTAGGTTCTAGAGTCAGTACAGCATGAAGAACGTGTCCAGGGGATGTTCAGGCCTCCAGGTTGTCTCTGAGTTCTCCTCTCTTGGAGTCTGAGGTAACAGAAGAAAACCTTATTAAGTTGGTTAACATCTTTCGATTATTTCTTCATGTGTCTGTTTCCCTGTCTCTTTTTCTCCTATTTCCTGAAATCTTCCATTATCGATGGCCTTAATCCTATGAATTGGCATTTAATGTCTGTCAACTTTGACCTGAAATCTCCCTTTCTGATTCTGCCTCCCCTTTTCTTTATAGGAACAACCTTCTGAGGCCAGAAACTTGGCTCATTGCCTCCGTATTGATCTGCCTCTGCTATCTTATCAGCTACTCGCTTCTACCCATCCTTCGTGTATCCCCACGTCATTCCTGGACATCTTTCCCTAATACTCCAGGCCTCAGTTCTGTCAGCTTTTTCCGGTAGAACTCATTTGTTGTCCTACTCTCCTAGCACTCGTGTGACTGGTGTTGTAGTGTAGCTATTTAAATGGCTCTATCTTATCTAAGTATATTGAAAGTATGGCTCTTAATATTACCTGAAGAGCCTCGTACAGAACTCCATACATATGTTATTCATGAAAATTAAGAGCTATTTTTTAATCCTCACCCAAGGACATGATTTTATTGACTTTAGAGAGAGAAGAAAGGAGAGGGAGAGGTAAACATTGATCTTTTGCTTCCTGCATGTGCCCCAACTGAGATGGAACCCACATTCTAGGTATGTGCCCCGACCTGGATAGAGCCTGTGATTTGGTGTTTGGGATGACACTCCAATCAACTGAGCCAAACTGGCCAGGGCAAGAGCTGCTCTTTTATATTTCTTAGAAGGTACTTAATCTGAGGTTACATGGAAGCTGTTGACTTACACACAGGTGGATTAAACAGAGTTTACCTTGGAATTGCTGAACTTCCCAGAGTTTGGCTTTGGAAGGGCAGACGTAGGGAAGCAGTGCTTGACTTGAGCTGAATCTTGGCCTCTCGGGTGTTTAAAGCTTGCTCTGTCTCCTGTTCTCCTGTGAGTTTGTTTGATCTTGTGGGTGCTTTATCATCACTGAGGATCTGCCAACTGCAATTCCTGGGGAACGGTCAAACCCACCTCCCAGCCTGGTTGATAGCTTCCCTGTTCCTATCTCCTAGATTTCTGGTGATTCCCAGAGATTTTTTTTTAACTGAGGCCTTCCTTGCACTTGAGGTGGTCCTTTTTGGATAGACCTGAGGAGGACTTCACCTGGGTGTCTTTTCAATGCAGCCTAGTTCTAGTCCATGGACGGTACTTATCCTTTGTTCTGAATAATGTGAGGAATACAGACCAATCCTACAGCGCAGAAATCTGTCTTTTGCTGTCATCATCAGAGCTGCTGAAAGAAGACATACCAGGCTTTCTCACAACCCTTTTCTCATCTGCATTATCTGGGGGTAGAGGTAGTATTCACCGGACATCAAAAGCGTTATAAAACACTTCCCCAAGTATTATGCTTAAAAAGTTAATTTAACTGGTTCTGAGCCACCAATTTTTCAAGTATGGTGTATTACTTGACATTGAAAGTAACAAGAAACTGCTGTTCTAATCCCCAAATTTTATTAATCACTGGCACTTATGTAGAATATTTCACCCCTTAAAGGTTGTGTTTCCTTTTCTTTAGAATGGGCATGATGATAATACTGCCTCGAAGAGTTAATGTGCGGAGGAAATGATATAACATACTAGTATATGAAATGATTAACACAGTGGTGAAGGATTAACAAATCCTTTCTCTTAATTTTGTTAAAGAAATGAAACACACCTCAGTAGTATGATTTAATGACTTAGTTCTATCTCATGAGAGGAGTATCTCAATCTGAATTGTTAATCAAACTCTAGCTCATTCTCTTTCACCTTTCTGTATCACCATTCAAGATTGCAGAATACCTCCTGGTATTGCCCATGGATCCCATCATGACATAAGTTCATTTTTCTCCTTTACGACTGTGGTGCACTATGAATGCGATGAAGGATATGTTCTGGTTGGAGACCCCCAAATCACCTGCAGAAGTTCACAATGGTCATCTCCAGCCCCTCAGTGTAAAGGTAATTTCAACTTTACTGATGGCTCTTGTTAAGGTAGAACCACCGTGAAACCTAGAGTCTCCTCCCAGCCAGAGGCAGCACTTAGAAATTTGTATTCTGTTTATTTATTCACTTCATGTAGTTAATATTAATGCATGCATATAGTACAATATTTTAAAAGTGTGAACCAAGATGTATGTTTTCAGAGGTACGTTTTCTATAAGGCCACCTTTTTGCTTTGTTTTAATAAAAGTTTTAATTTAAATATAACATGCTATAGAATTGTGCACAAATCTTAGGTATATAGGGCAACCAGTATCATGAAGTGAGCCTGAACCAACCGATGAAACTATAACTCAGGTCAAGAAACACTACTGTTGCCAACACTCAGAAGTGTTCCACATGTCCTCTCCCATTCGCTACCCACAGAAGGTCACTAGTCTGACAGCATGGGTTAATTTTTGCCAACTTTTAAACTTGATATAAAGAAAATCATGCACAAGACACTGGGGGGTAGGGGAGGCCAGGGGAAGGTCAAGGGGAGAAAAAACAAAGGAGACATATGTAATACTCTTTGTAATACTTTAAGCAATAAAACAAAATTAAAAAATAAAATAAAATAAGAAAATCATGCATGTACTCTGTTGTGCCTGGCTTCTTTCCTCACCATTATGTTTTGGAAAACCACCTATGTTCTTACTTGTAATGAGAGCTATTCATTTTCATTGCTGTATAATATTCTTTTGGATGAAGATACCCCATTTTATGTATCTTATACAAGTTTGAATTTTTTATGTTTTAGGCTACTATGAATAATGCTCTTATGAACATTCTTGTGCATGTCTCTTGGTACAAATATGCCAACATTTCTGTTGGGAATAAATTTAGGAGTAGAATTACTGTTTCACAGAGTATGCACATATTCATTTTTAGTAGGGGATACTGAATTCTGTTCAAAGGTGGTTGCAACACTTTACATTTCCACCAGTAGTGTATAAGCATTCTAGTTTTTATAAACAGAAGTTCTACATTCCAATCTGGCTCAATTTATCAATCTTTTTCTTGATGTTAGAGCTTTCTGTGTCCTGTGTAAGAAATATTTGCCTACAACAGGGTCACAGAAATATAGTCTCCTATTGTTTTATCTTTCACATGGATACCCTCAACCCACTTGGAATTTCTATGGGCTTATGGTGGAAATTAAAAGTCAAAGTTTGTTTTTCCCCAAGGAATAACCCATGAACCCTGCACCACGTATTAAATGGACCATAGTTTCCACACAGCTCTGCAGTGCTGCATGTATGCTTTTGTTTCTGCTACCATATTCTCACAGCGAAGTTGACTTCATAGGAGGTTCCTGGTTGACCACAAAGGTTAGGTGTGCCTTTAAAAAAATACCACACTATAAAAAACAACTCAAGGGACTAATGTCTCTCCATTATTTCCATTCAGTGCAAAGAGATATTAAGAATATGCAACTTAAAATTATAGTCTTAGGATCATGTAAAAAGTAAGGTTTTGAGATATAGTTGCTTTGAAAACTCAGATTCTAGGACCACAGTACCTAGGTTTATATCATAATCATGCTACCGAAAAGCTATGCAACCTTAGACAAGTCACATAAACTATCTGCACCTAATTTTCCTCTCTAGCAAAATGGAGATAATAATAATGTTTTATGTTGATAGTAGAATGCAAGTTATTTTTATTTTTTACTGTTACAGTAATACAATAAATAGAGGTCAAAACAACTCACATCATGCAGGTATAATTTATTATCGGTGTTATTCACCCCTCAGTATTCTCTACTATTGTAAGATCTTATTCTGAGAATCACAAGACGATCAAAATTGTGTTTCCATGAACAACAGCGCTGTGTCTGAAACCAGAGGTAGAAAATGGGAAGCTGTCTGAGGATAAAGATCTGTTTATTGAGTCTGAAAATGTCACCATCCAGTGTGACTCTGGCTACGGTGTGGTCAACTCTCAGAACATCACCTGCTCTGAAAACAGGACCTGGTACCCAGAGGTGCCCAAGTGTGAGTGGGTAAGTGGCACACACATCAGGGAGCTTTATCACACTCTCCAGAGCTTGGTCCCAACCAACACTGATGAGCTCTGACTTTCGTCAAGAATCGTTTCTGAGTTGTTTAAATCACTTTTGGAATCAGCAATTTCACCCTCAAAGCCCTTGGTGAGCTCATTAAGGCAAGTTCTAACTCTCTCATTTAATAGCAAGAAAACCTAGGCCCCTAGATAGGAGGACAGGGTTCCAAAGACCCAGGTAGCCTGGGACCAGCCCTGTATTTTCTACCATAAGTGCTATGCTTTTGCATCGCCATCAACACCATCCCTTCGGTGGTCCCTGAAGAGGTGCCCTGAGTGTCTTCGGCAGCACTGTTCCTCCCCTGCCACATTGGTCTGGAATCATTCTCTGATGTTTCTCTGATTTATACCCTCATATCTTGGATTTCTATGCGGAGGGTCCTGATACTCCACTTTTGTTGTCATCAGTGAGGCATCCTGAAGGAATCTTCTACTTCCAACAGTTTGGAGAGAAATTCTCTCAAAATCCATCCTTTTTCTCTCTTTTAGGAAGTCCATAATGGCTGTGAGCAAGTGGTAGAAGGCAGCAAACTCATGCAGTGTCTCCCAAGCCCCGCGGACGTGAAAATGGCCCTGGACGTGTACAAACTGTCTCTGGAGATTAAACGACTCAAGCAAGAGTAAGACTTGAGGAGGAACACCCGTTAGAACTCAGTACAACATAAACCGATGAACAAAAACAGATCTAGAGACAGGAAGCATCGATCAGACTCTCAAACCCCAGAGGAAAGCCAGGGGAGGGTGGGGGTAAGGAGGAGAGATCAACCAAAGGACTTGTATGCATGCATATAAGCATAAGAGATGGACGCAGACAACAGGGGGTGAGGGCAGGGGCAGGACTGAGGGGATGAGGGGACAATGGGGGTATAAAGACACATTTGTAATACCTTAATCAATAAAAATAAAAAAGAAAAAGAAAACAGTACATCGCTTTCCCCTCACTCATCACCCCCTAGTAAAGCATTAGGTATATTTCTTATTAGCAAGTCTACTGTATTTTAAGTATTATTTACTGGGGGAAAAAACAAACATCTGTTTTAGAAGAATCTTAGTGACACTGATAATGTAGAACTATTGATCACTTGTATCTTAGCTCATATTAAGCTCTGTTTTCCTGGATTTGGTGGAACGGCAGAAATAAAGAATCACCTGTCAAAAATTCAGTGTCTTTGTTTCCGCTTTAATTCCTGTGTAATGCAAAACTAGGGTCCTCTATGAATCATTCTCTGTTGTTTCTCTGATTTATGCCCTTTTCCCTCTTACCATATTTCAGGGTACATGTGGTCCTCAAAAATACATGTTTGTGCCTTGTCTGAGGTGTCTTTACCCTGCATCTTCACTTCCTACTCATCCTTCAATGCGCAGGTCAAATATCACATCTTCCTCCACGTCTTCTCCTTTCTCTCCCTATGTGATCACCAGTATTTCTCTGGAACAACTTCTCACTTCCTCTTTATATATTTTTTTTTTACCTTGAAAATGTTTATTGAAGCTTCTTTTTTTTATGTTTTATTGCTTAAAGTATTACAAAGGGTATTACATATGTCTCCCTTTTCCCCCGCCCTTGACAATCCCTCTTTATATTTTTAGCTTCACTTGGTTTTGCACAACTTTCCTTCCATTCAAGAATAACTAGCTTGAAAGCCTTTGAAGGCCTGATCTATGTGCCCCCAAACATTCCTGTTGGGCATGCCTAAGTCTTCCAGTTGCATCTAACCACTTTGGAAATATGTCTATTAAAATGGCTTTCGTGTCTCTTTTAAGTCAGATTCCCCAGAAGCAGACACTGAGGAGAGGATTCGTGTACAAGCAATTTATTAAGAAATGGGAACGGAGGTAGGGAGAGCGGGGAAGGCAGGGAAGGGGCCTAGCAAGGTGATCAGGCAAAGAGAATGGCTTAGCCTTGTCCCAAAGGGAACTCTCCACTAGGAATGTGCTTGAGCTCTGTCCCAATTCCAGGCAAAGAAACTGGGCTTTCATTCCGCTGTACCCGTCAGTTATTGGTAAATGGCCACTCCGGGGGCTCAGGAGCCCCCCGGGACACCCCGCTCTCTCTATGTGGGGACAGAGCTGTCCAGCAGCCAAGAGAGTAGAAGGCATGGCCTTTAGAAACCAAAGCACAGAGAAGCCGGCAGAGGAGTGCACAGAAATGGTAAAGGGGATGTGAGGGGCTGGGCGGCGCTGACTTCATGAGTCCCTCTTACATCTCTGGATATTCTTGGGCGCCTTATATTTCCAACAGTCACCATTTCTTCCAGTTTTGGGCTCCTTTGAAATCTCATTCCACTCATGCTTCTTACTCTGGCTACTTCCGGTTCGCCACCGCCCCTTCATTAATAGTGGAGAGCATCGCCTCTTTCCTGGATTTCTGCAAAATAACAGTTATACAGTTATACTGTGTGGCCCCGGCAGTGTGGCTCAATGGTTGAGCGTGGACCTAGGAACCAAGAGGTCAGGGTTAGATTCCTGGTCAGGGTACATGTCCGGGTTGCCGGCTTAATCCCCGCTAGGGGGCATGCAGGAGGCAGCTGATTGATGATGTTTCTCTCATTGATATGTCTGTTTCTCTTCTTTCTTTCTAAAAATCAATAAAAGCATTTTTTTAAAAAAGAAAGAAAGCTGCATAGCTGGCTTTTACTAAAGCTTAGAGTTAACAGAGGGGTATGAGGCTGCTACAACACTGGACTTCCACAACGCGTGTGACATAACTAATTGGAAAAGACCATTGGCTTCCACTGCCATCAGGACTATCTTCTGGCTGGCTTTCTCTGCATGACCCTGCCAGCCTCCGGGCTGGTCTGATCTGCCACTTTCCCCCTCAAGTCTCTCCTTGCCACACGGGATCCATTCTTGCTCTCACTATCCCAGGAACCCATTTCCCTTTATTAGGGAAAGGATTTTAGCTCTTGGTCTTTCCCGAGTCTCAGGGATTTATATCCAAAAACTTACGAATATACTCAAATAAACAAAGGACCATCCATTAGGCTTGAGCACCACGCTGTGGAGATCTAGAGGAATCTCTGAAATATGAGTCTTTCTGTATTTCCTCACCCTCAAGACTCTGTGGGGGGCAGTGTGGAGACATTCTCGCAGGGATGTGAATTATGTCACTTTTTCCCCCCTAAATTAATTTCACATAATCACAATGATAAAACTAATACGTGTATGTGCACGCAATAATTCAAAGAGGGTGGTAAAAAATAAAAATAAAATTCCTCTCTTTGTGCCTCAGTCCTACAGCTCCTGCTGATTAGCTTAGCCCCGCTGAAGAGGATACACACACTATATCACTTGACTTTTTATCTCTAAGCCATGTATTTTAATTTCTTGCTATAAAATTATCACTCTAGCTCCTGCCCTGCCCTCTCCCCACTCTCTCTCTCTCTCTCTCTCTCTCTCTCTCTCTCTCTCTCTATTGGTCAGTCTCATTTATTTATTTTTCTTTTATTGCTTAGTTATTTTCATGGCTTTAAGTAATATATTTAAACCTCTACTATTTATGCAACTTTATTTTTGACAATTTACTATTTTATTAAAGCAATACATAAAATAATTTAAAAATAAAAGAATCCAAGAAGACTTACAATGAAAACTCTAGTGTTCCAACTCATTTAATCTTATCCTTTGGTTTTATCCTCCCTACCTCCTCCTCCCCACCCCCCACCCCCAATAGTCACTTTCAGCTCCTTTGGCTCTTATAATATTTATCTATATATTTCTAAATAATATTCTCATTCTGCATATATTATTTTTAAGCATTATGTATTTGTGGAGAGCGGCTACAGCGTTTGGACAGGCAGAAGCCTGGGACTAATGAGAGGGCACCATCCTCTCATGGCAAAGCCACGTGCAAGTCCCAGCACACTTATAGCCACAGCTTGACCTTATGGTCCGAACCTGTGGTCCCACGTGGCTGAGTGATATGGGCTGCGGGAGGCGCAGCAAGTAAACAAAGCTTGATCAGGTGCATGTAATTGAGTAGATTCGAAACCCATGAAAACGTTGTAACCACGCCCTTATTTTGCCTCGTGGAATCTGGCTATAAAATAAAGACTGGGCTTGCAGGCCTTGGCGCTGTCTCTCCATTAGAGAAGGCAGCGTCCCACCCAGACCCAGCTTTCTTCTCTTGTCTGTCTTTTCTCAATCCTTCACCGCCCCCTCTCAGGCTCACCGAACCTGGCTGTGCTGGCGCGGCACAGTATTGACTTAGTACTATTAAGAGAGAATAGAGTTTAGGTCTTTGCCATCTTCCCTCACAGAGTAGTTACATCCCACTCCTTGATTAATATTCAGTGTTTACATTATTATGACTAAGGAAGTCAAGCCAAGGTAAGACAAGCAATGATCTATGTGTTTATTTACTTACAACTCTTTAATTTGTATGGAATTAATAGTTGATCTTGTCTTTTGGTTTAGTTTTCTAAGTTCCCGTTGCTGATTCCTGCTACATGCTCCCATAGATCTGTCATAGTCTAGTAATGTATATCCTAGTGGTCAGACCTATCAGATGCTGTTTCAATTCCATACACTCCCATCTAGTTCCTGGAGATGCATTCCCAGACCCTTTCTATTCAGTGGTTCTGAAATGAGCTCCTTATTTATATTATTATTTATTATTACTTTTAGAGAGAAAGGGGGAGAGAAACATCAATGTGAGAGGGAAACATTGATGTGAGAGAGAAACATGGACCAGTTGCCTCCCATAGGTGCCCCAACCAGAGATGGAACCACAGGCTAGGTATGTGCCCTGCCTGGATATCGAACCTGCAACCTTTCCGAGTATGGCAAGGCACTCCAATCAACTAAGCCACCTGGTCAGGGCTAGCTGTTTCATATCGTAGGCCTTTTCTTTGCTGTTCTCCTTATTTCTTTGATTCTAAGTCTTTGTTTTAATTTTCTAATTTTTGCTGGAACAGATCCTTCAGAAGATGCCTAAGACAGTGTGCCTGGGAAATGCATTTTTGAGTCCTTAAATGTCTTAACACATGTATTTTTCTTACCCTTACAGTTAATTGATGGATAGGTTGTATGTAGAAGTGTGGGTTCTCTCAGAATTTTGATGATATTTCTCCATTGCTCTGTGCCTTCCTGTGCTGCTATGGACTAGTCCATGATATTCCAATCCTTGATACAATGTTGTTCATCATTTTTTCTCTCTCAGTCTGAGATATTTTAGTACCTTCTCTTTATTAATGTGGCCTTGCTTTAGGATGCTTTTGATCAGGGGTCCTCAAACTATGGCCCGCGGGCCACATGCGGCCCGCCGAAAACATTTATCTGGCCCGCTGGGTGTTTTTGCCGCCGCTGTGTGCATAGGAATTTGCTCATAGTTTTTTTTAAACTATAGTCCGGCCCTGCAACGGTCTAAGGGACAGTGAACTGGCCCCCTGTTTAAAAAGTTTGAGGACCCCTGCTTTTAATGCATTGATCCAGGTCCTTGCTGGGACTTTTAGATATGGAAACATGTTCTTTAGATCAGAGAAACTTTTTAGAATTTTTTGTTTTCATTTTATTTTTTTTCCCACCCCCTGGTACTCCTTTAGTAAAATATTGTTATAAATGTTATTTCTGTCCTACTTTCCGTACTTTGTTCTTAGTGTTCTACTTTCTAGGAAATTTTCCTGACTTCGTATTTTAAGATTGTTATTGAAGTTTAAAATTTATTTTTTTAAAAAGTTTTCAATAGCTAGTTCTTATTCTGTATACATTACTTTTAAGTAAGATCTTGTTCTTTTTTCATGAATACAATGCCACATTTTTCTGTCTCTGAAAATATTAATTATAAGGTGGCTTTTGGGGGGATATTACTTGCTTTCTGCTCATACGAAGAAATGAAATTCCAAAATATTAACTGATATCTCTGTATGTATGAGTGACGCCTCTCTAATGGTCAGCTTCTTTTAGCATGATAGGCAGCAAGAAGATTTAACTATTTGCGTGTTTGTTTTAGTTTGAAATGAACATGTATCTGCAGTCTTTTTTGTAGGTCCTCAATGCCTCCTGAGAAGGTTTCTGTAATCTCCTCTTTATTTAAAAAAAATATTTTTATTGATTTCAGAGAGGCGGGGAGAGGAAGAAAGAGTTAGAAACATCAATGATGACAGAGAATCATGGATGGCTGCCTCCTGTGCGGGTTGCGAGCCTGCACCGTGCCCTGAC